GGATCTGGTAAAAGTGCTGATTCTGATTCAGTTGGCCTGGGGTGGGGCCTGAGGTTCTGCATTTCTATGAAGTTCCTAGGTGAGCCCCTGCTGCGAGTCGGTCCATGGAGCACACTTTGAGTAGCAAGGGGTTGGAGCACACAGCCCTGTGTTTCTGGTTTTCGAGGAGTTCCCCACTTGACTGCTTTTGGCTCAGCCCTAGCCTTCAATCCTCAGTCTCCCAGAAAAGCCCAGTAACAGAGGCCCCTTTTCTCTCTGGTGTCTCTGTCTCTGGGACTGGGGCAAAAAGTCCCATGAAGATTGGGAGTAGGTCCAACATCCAGAGCCACAAGGCTGTGGGACTTGAAGGTAGATCTTTCTGGCAGGAACCCCTGACTCTTTTTCCACCCCCATTCTCCACCCTGGGTGGAGACTGCCCTCCTGGATGGCATTAATTTATCCAGCAGCTGGCCAGTTCTTGCTGCAGAAGCTGCTCCTCAAGCTTCCTAATGTAGGTCATCCCCTTCTTAATGAGGCTGGAGACTTTTGGAGGTGGAAAGGAGTCCTTTGGTTGGAGGTGTGCTGATGAGCCTCTAGAGGGCCAAGGAGCTAGACAGTGCTGGGCTCAAGCCCATATCTCCTTAAGGGTCACTTCTCTGGTGCCCACGGAGGCAGGGTCAGCTCCCCAGGAAACACAGGTTCCCCTCATGGACCTGGGTGCCTTGTTTGCATCACATTTCTCTAGAGATACGAGGGTCAATGGTTGCCTGCCACCTTGCAAGACACCACCTGTGGGTCTGCATTGTGGAGACCTGCCTGCCTTGCTTTGTATAGTGACTTCATTCTGGAGATGGGGCAGTAGGACCTGCACTTGAGGCCACCACCTCCACTGAGTGGCACTTGCTGCTCAACCCCTGGGCTCCCTTTGGGGAGAATACCGAGACTGGGGAGGGGTAGGTGGGGTGGGAAGGGGAGTCGGTTTGAAAGAGGAGAGGAGATGAAGCTCAGGTAGAAATAGGGCCTGGGCTTGGGTGAGAGGGGCTCTTCACCACCTGCTTCCCTGCAGGAAGCTGGATAGAGTGGGAGCAGAAGGTTGGATTGGGTCCTCATCTTAGTGTGGGTCTAAGCAGAGAATACATCCTGTAGGGGACTGCCCTGTAGGGTTTGCTTCGGACCTTAATTCTAAGCTGGAAGTATCCTTGTACACCTGTCTGCAGGGGGCTTTTGGGAACTGCCGGGCATCCCACTCTGCTCCCTGCATGCTGAATGTGAGGAGGAGTGCTGGAGGGCTGCCAGCAGGCCATGTGTGTGTGCACAAGTGCGTGTGCATGTGCGTGTGCGTGTCAGCACGTGCCCAACTGCACGGTTTTCTGTGGGTGTGTGTTTGTACCACGTGCTGTGTTGGGAGCTCCAAGCACGTGTCTGGGAGCCTGTGTGCAACCCGCTCTGTGCACACATAGGTGTCTCCCCACGGGGGCCATGCTGGGTGACTGTCATCAGGAAGTGGATGAGCAGCCAGGCTCAGAAGCCTGCAACTCCATCCCCCACCTATTGTGTGACCTTGGGCAAGTTGGTCATTGTCTTCGTGCCTTGGGTGGCCATTGACTTGCCTACTATGTGTGGATGCTGTGAGCTTTGCTCTGAGGGATCTTGCTGGAGTAAGACATTGTTCTGGGGGTCAGGGCCTGCAGGACGGAGAGGGTGGACACCGCTGTCTGGGATGGAGGCCTGTGACGGCTGCGTGTGTGAGCACACCCTGAAGCGAGCACCGTGTGATGGCCCACAGGCCTGGCTCGGGCTCAGGAATGCAGCACGTGCTCAGCAGTAGAGTAGGCCCATGTGTGAAGTTGGTGGGACAGGAAAGAGATGTCCCACAGGCCTGCTGCACACTGCTGGTGTTTTCTCACACCTATCAGGGTCTTAAGTCCAAGCCAGGCACATTCACCTGAATTATCTTCTAAGGTAATTTTTGTGCTAAATAGAGTAAATGTTAACTTTCCCCTCTAAATTAAATTGATCCTCACTAAAATTCCACCCATTGAGTATTACTGTCGTCACTTTTAGAGCTAAGATAATTGAGGCCCAGAGAGTTTATGTTATTGGTTTATAGTTATACAGCTAGGGAATGACCTGACAAGGAACTGAACACAGAGCCCTGCCTGACCTGGGCATCTGAGCCAGGAGCCTGCTGGGGCCTGGCCCTGAGAGAGCATTTGGGAATAACAGCTGACCTACCCTAAGCATCTACCCCATGCCTCAGCCCAGGGCCTTGAGATCCGTCCAGGAGGCAGTGTGGGGACTGGGCTGCTCCTCACACCGCAAATCTGTGCCCAGTTGTTGAGACACACTCTGCTAGCCCCTGCGAGGCCTTCATGACCAGAGCCCTCCTAATGTGGCAGAGAGGGAGAGGAACGACAAAGCCAAGAGCAGGCAAGGCCCCTCCCCTCCTGAGCAGGCTGCCTTTGCTGGGAGCACAGCTAAAGGTCCTGTGGGGACTGCTGTGTTCTTAGTGCGTTCTGCCACCCTATAGGAGACAGATATAACCCAGGGGGGTGGGGAGAGACTCAGTGAGAGATACCAAGAGCTGCAGCAGGATCCTAGATGCCTGAGGGGAACCCTGCTTCACCCAAGATTTCAGAGCTGAATATGTTAGCTTCCCAGCAGCTCTTTCCACCTCCTCAGCTGTCTGCTTAACTCTGCCACTGGCTTCTGAGGCTCCCAGAATTAACTAGACCTGTGGGAGTGGGGAGAGGAGGCCTGCAACCAGGAATCACCCAGGGACGATGTGGTAACCAAGAAAGCTGGAACTCTAGGAGCCAGCAGGACAGTGGGTTGACAGGGCTGCACCTTGGGAGCAGGAGGAGGCCGGGCTGTTGGCCGCCTCTCCTCCATCCCATGCCCCATCTTACTCTGCGCTAGCTGTAATAGCTAGCACCACAGCCCCCCG